GGCCAAGAGCATCGGCTGTCGGTAGAGCGAGGAAGGGGTGTGAGGTGAAATGTATGTCACGGGAGGCATCCCAAATGCGAAGACCCTCGTTCTGTAGAGATGCGAGATGATGAAAACCTGGAAATAAGAACGAGTCGAAGTTTTTTGGATTTTTGGGTCCAGGGATTATTGCACCAGGGAGAACGTACTGTTTTTTGTAGCGGCGGCTGGGGTGATGGTCGAGAATAATCCAAATAACGATCCAACAATCAGAATTTTTGCTCCGATAGAGCTGGGCACCATCCATGGATATCATTAGAACCATGTCGTTCTCATTGATACGACCTTGCATAACAGCATCAAGGTAGTTGCTGCCGCATATGAAATCATCGATGGCATCGAGTTCGCCATTGTGCTGTTGCAAGTGCCGAAAAATGGCAGCTGTACGTTCACGACGATAGCGCATGTATTCAGCACTCTCGGGATCACGCCAGAGCGCCTGAAGTTGTGGTCCCAGGGGAATGGTATGGAATTCGCGAACGGGAACCTGCTTGCCGGTGGCTTCAAGTTTCAGCTGATCGTATCGATGCGAGTCACAGAATGGACATTGCTCGAGATCGGCAAAAGGCCCAGTGAATGCGATACATGTGTTCAAACACATGTGGTGTTTGACCGAGTCAATGCCACTAAGTTCTGCGACGAGACGTTCGACACCACGATAAGTTGGGATATCTTCAGCTCCCGGAAAACTCCTCGCTGCAGAATCAGCGATACCCTTATACGCAGCCTGAGCTGCGTGTTCGAGATGAAAGTACATCTCGATACCATGACGAATGAGTGGACTTTCGAGACGAGGCAGCTGCTGAGGCGGATTTCGGAGTTTATCAAGAGCTTCAGGTGTAAGTTTTGCGACTGGATCATCGAGCGACGCCGCGCGAAGTGCTTGAATGAACGCTAATGCTTCGCGTTGTTTTGGGAGCTGAGCGAGTGCCTCAAGCTCATCAATATCAATGTCAGGAGGGTTTGGTATTTGAGGTTGTGGCGGAGGGTCGTTTGGAAGTCGCAGAGGGTCGTTTGGAAGCTGCAGTGGGTCGTTTGGAAGCCGTGGAGGGTCGTTTGGAAGTCGCAGAGGGTCGTTTGGAAGCCGTGGAGGGTCGTTTGGAAGCCGTGGAGGGTCGTTTGGAAGCCGTGGAGGGTCGTTTGGAAGCTGCAGTGGGTCGTTTGGAAGTCGCAGAGGGTCATTTGGAAGCTGCAGTGGGTCGTTTGGAAGCCGTGGAGGGTCGTTTGGAAGTCGCGGAGGGTCGTTTGGAAGCTGCAGTGGCTCGTCTTGAAGCTGCGGAGGGTCGTATAGAGGTTGGGGATACTCATTGAAATCCTGATTGTTCTATAGCGCAGGTTATCTACTAGATTCATACTGAATATGATTTTATTATTACCTCTGGACTGGCAGTGCGAATGCGTTTTCGAGGAGGAGTGTGACCTGGACTAGCATGGCGCTTGCTTAGAAATTCACGAATCATCTGAATAGCCTTGGGGTCGTCTTGTGCATTGATAATCCGTTCACGTTCCTCCTCGGTAGCTGCTTCGCCTAGGTGATTGTAGTACGTAGAGCGCTTGACCTGCACACGTCTCCCTCCGTGTCGTCGACAGACGCACCAATATGAAGACATATCACACGTGCTGGTCTAGTTTCGAGACCAAGGGTGTCTCCAGTAAGAAAACGAAGGCTTCAAGTTGTTGAATTAGACGGTATATACCTAGTAGCAGTAGTACTAGTACCAAATGAACATAGGTTAATAACCTAAAGAACATAGGTTAATAACCTAAAGCTACGATATAGCAGAGTTCCACTTACTGTACTAGTAGACTCGGATTGTGCTGCAAGAGCCTGTGATGCGAGTGCAATGCAATTGAAATGCGATTGCAACGCAAAGGGCTGCAGAATCCGTGCAGTTGCGACACAAATGCGTGTTTGCACGCGCTGGACTTGCAAGAAAATACGCGTTCATTTGCTATCAACTCTATCTACACGACATGGCACGACACGGCACTTTGCGTTTTACTCTCGCACGCTCTGAAACGCCCTGGCAGTGTCCGATGTTCACTGGGCTTTACACGTCGTTCTTCGCGATGCAGGCCTCCCTATCGACGGTTGCCCTTTGCTCCCATCTACCAACGCCTCCCTCCACACACAACAATCCCCGTCTCTAACTATGGCGGGATCGAAATTCACAAGACACGTTTCGTATTCTCCTACCCACCGCAGCAATTATGTTCTCCGCTCCACAACATCGATTCACCAGTCACCTACATTCATCATGCGGCGCGAGTAAGGTCATAAATTCATATACATATATACCATAGTTGAGATCTTCTTCAACATAACTTATCAACTCATACTCGAGATTTACGCGCTGATTTTTTAGGCCTCTCATTTCGAATGAGACATGACCATATGATAAGATCCTGTAACTCTTGCACTGCCCGTCCCCTCACAGCATCATCTCCAAAGTCTTCAGCTGGAGGAAATGTCTAGAATAGACGTCCTGCGCCATTGTGCATGATATGTTCCTCGACCCACTGATGTGTAGATTCGCTATCATTCAGTCCATTGACGACGATGACGAAGATCAAGCAGGATTCTCTCGAAAATGTTGAAAGGATCACTGTGGTGAAGCCAGAGTTTATTCAACAAGACGCCGGGGAGTGTGACGTACGGTCAGTGCTAAACGAGACCAACGGACGGCTTCTATGAATGAATCAAAATTTCTGCTCCGTCGAAAGCATGCATGGAGGTCCTTGTTCAGTGAGTATCCACGGTGTCGATGTTGTGGCGGGTAATCTCTACCAATTCGCCGAAGTGGTATGCTCTCATCTGAGAGGCCACTGAGAAGTGCATCGCACTGCTCGATGGCATAGAATACATCGTTGGTATCGAATACTACTCAACAGAGATAGCTACCCTCAACACAAAGCGGCAGTATCGAGCGGTAAAGTTCTGCAGCCTCGCGGAGATCAGCATGGTCCTTTTTGCGCGAGTTGGCGCTGTTGGAGAGCCTAGCAGGGATCGAGGATAGATAGCAGATGATTGGCGTGCCCTGGGGGACAGAGTGCGAGCGCGGAGCGGAAGAGAGAAATGGCACTGTCGATATCAGTGCCACAGAGGATGGCATGGGCAAGGGTTGGAGAGCGCTGCGGCGTGATCTGGATGATCGAAGGGACATTGGCCAAGTACTGACTGAAAGCCACGAATGGCGGTATCAAGATCAATGGGAAGGTTACTCGTTCTGAAGAGAGCGTATGCGTCGCGTGCTGCATCAATATCCTGACCGATCTTACTCTGGATTTAGCAGTGATAAAAAGTCATTGAATCAATGATGTACCTACATAGTACCATCCGCAGTGTGGTGTGGTATTTTTATATGTTGTGCCTCCAACTTAAGTGACAAGCTGTTATTACCAACAGCCGAACGCGTTACTTCGGAACCGGTGTCAGGGAATATAAACATGGTGGAGGGTGTGAGAACTCACCGAACGGTCCGTCGTGCCAAGAAAATGGTCTAAAGTCATTTGAAATGTACCCACAAGTTCATCCCAGCCGAGCATTGGTATACACTGAAATGAGTCACGGATATCAAGGCGGAATGTTGTGGAAAAGCAGGAAAATGGGACTTGAGGTGCGGGGTGTATCAGTTGGTGCACATGGCCCGGATGATGAGGGACATCACTACCTTCCAACAATAAAACATATCCGCCACAACGCCATATTAAATGACATGCTTATCATGTGTAATGCCAGCGTAAGACTGATGTAAGAGACAAGTACATGGATGCAGAGGAAGGAAGGTTTGGGAGGGGATGGCGCGACTGAGTACTGAGTCCAAGAGGCTGAGTGCATGAGCCATGTATCCGGCTCAAATATCTGAGTGGGTTCACGGTCGAGATCTGGACTAACGCAGTAAATGATCGAGTTCCTTCGTTTGAGTGACTGGTAGACAACAGGATTCGAAGAACATTAATGTACTTACCAGCCTCTCTCGAATTTACCAAAAGTATATAATATAAATCACCGGTAGAAACATTCGCGTCTTCATACACGCAGGCCTTGGACATGGTAAGAGTGCTCTTGCAAAAACGCATATGAAGGGTGTTTAGTAACGTACAACTCGCCGAAACGTTCCTATGAATTGCAGAATTGCTCGTGGAGAGTGCGTGTACGATCGGTAAGTTCCAGACGAGTTCCCACGGCAAAAATTCGTGCCGTCTGGCAAAACCTTAAGTCAAATATTCCACTAGCACTCTGGCACACCCAATTCTACTCGCGACGCCAACTTCCGATCTTTGATCCACGACCTATAGATACGTCATGAGTCCCATGACGCGAACTTCCGAAAAAAGAAAATCTAAGTCTGGCTTGAACTTGCCCAGACAGTAGTTTTGGCAGCCACCATGCAGGTCATGTGCGTCTCTATGACCCAGGTTCAGTGGTCTACACGCAAAAAGAGAAAAAGGTGCGTGTCCTACTAGTACCTGCACTGATACTCCAACTGTCTGCTTTCCTGGTCTTCGTTTGCAAAGCACGCTTCACCATCGACGGCTGCGGAGGAGAAAGTAGGGGCAGGATTTTGGGAGGACTCGAGTGAGGGAGATTCAGAAGGAGAAGATAGTGAGTTCACGCATTGTTGTTCTGGAGCTGGAGAGTCAGAAATGCGGATGATATTGCTGGTGTTCGGAATTGATTGAAGCTCTTTACGAGCTGATACAGGCACATGTACATCATGGTGTATGTGGGCGCATACGGGGGCCTTTCACATTCACTTGACCTCTTCGTGGTGCATCGCCTCCTTTTGCTTCTGTTTCCTTGCGCGGCGCCATAATGTTCCCGGTGCCCCATCCCCCAATGACGCGTCCTCTGACTAGCCACCATACCTGGCGTTCTGCATTACCCACAAAGTTCATATTAAGTACTTCGTAGGCGATGCAGGACGCTGGATATTACGAAGGCATCAGACCATTTAGTCATGCAAGATCAAGAACCTTCTCGCCAGCAAGGAGACCATGCTTCGAGTACCGCAGAACGATTCTGGGCACTTCATTGCATGGGTCTTCTGCTTCTATCACAGGTAAGTGTTGCGGTCAGCTCCAGCATGTTCTTGATCCATTCTTGAACAGGAACTGAACCCTGGCGTAGCACGGGGATACTTTGGCGCTTGACTATCTACATGCGGTGTCTCGTGTCATGGTACGACGAGATCATTCCAGACACGTCGACGGGAATGAAATGACCTTCAGATTCACTGTGATTCAAGTTGTGATCAAGCTCTGGGCACAACGCAAACACTGATGAGAAAGACACCTCACGAACAGTGCAGCGCCAGATTGATGCTCAATGTGGGTTTACATTCCTACTACTCTCTGATCGTGTGTTGATCGTTGGTATATAGTTTTGCTTCTCTTCCTTGATGATCGGGCAACATGCTTCTGCCCTCGCACAAGTCATGTAGTGTCTACAGCTTCTTACGAGCTGCGAGGTTGTCGGCGTCGGCGTATATGGTACATCAGAAGATCAGCAAGAGATGAATCTTGATGCTCCACTACAACTGTGCCACTCGGAGATGGGTCGGGAACGTGTAGAGACTGCATGCAGTGTCATAGGCGGTGAGTCGATCGTCGATCGTGTTGATCTGACTGTGTCGTATCTATCGTTCAGTCGCGCACCAAATTTCAATGCTACTGATGCACGATACATCCCTTGCGCTTGTCATGCTGCAAACACCAGGCAAGCTTGCTGTCAGGGCCTCATTGACGCCCGCCAGCAGGTCAAATACCCATAGTGAGCAGGACATACAAACCGCAATACCCCCACCCCAAAGTGACATTCAACAATGCGCTTACTTCTATGCATGATCCTCTACCTCGTTGTAGTGATCCAAGCCGCACCCACTACCAACGCAACTATTACTACTACCGAGTATTTTGAAGCTCCGTCATTCACGAACAGAACCCTGTGGAACATTATCTCCAGCTCCGTTCTCACTATTTTCGCATGTACATACAGCTCTATCCATCCAAATATCCCGAGTCCTAAGGACAGCCCATTTTGTATCCTACGGCGACGACTTGTCATCATGATAGTGGCACTAATTGCTCCTGAACTCGTCGTAGTATGGGCAATGCGCCAGTGGCTTAGCGCTCGTAAGGTTACAAAAGACTACAAGGAATCAGGGTATTTCAATGCTGCTCGGCCGCAGAAGCAGTCTGAAAGTGAGTCGTGCTTTCTGAAATTGGATATGTTCCTAGGACAACTTACCATGCACGTCCTTAGATCATGAGTTGGCTGAAGTGCCTGCAGAGCAACTTGAAGGTGAGCTCGACATTCTATCTTACATCCTGAATATGCTTCCTCATGGCTCGCCTGCTTCTGAAGATCATGATAGCGCCCGGCTTCTCGTAGCGCCTGCTGAAGGTGAACCGTCTGTATTGGTTTTTCTTTGGTAGTTCATAGTACTCCAGTGTCCACCTCAAGATATGGAGGAACTCATGCTCTTGCGAAACCATTCAAACAGTTATTTCCAGCTTACTTTTCAGATCAATCCGAAGGTAAGCTGCGTTCGCGCTCATCCAAACGTTTGGCTGACGTGGATCCTTAGATTACGCGTGGACTCAGACCCACAGCTTCTTTGTGCTGATGGGCGGGTTTATGCTTTATGTAGATGGGGAACCCTGCCGTACACTACTGCCTGACGGGGTTCTCAAGCTGATAGGTGAAGGGTGTATTGATGCCCCTACCCTAACGGCAAGGCAGATCAGCGACCGGAGCAAAGGCAATTTGATATCGAAAGGATTGATCATCCTTCAGGTGGCCTGGTTCATCCTGCAGCTGATCACCCGCGCGATTTATCACCTCGAAACCACCCAGCTGGAAACAGGGACACTCGCGTTTGCGGTTCTCAATTTCCTGACCTATGCTGTGTGGTGGAATAAGCCTCTCGATGTTCAGTGTCCATATCCGGTGTACTGGAAGTCAACCGAGTCAAAGCCAGAGGATCACATTGATGGGTATGTCTGCGTCTAGATCGATTATGCCGTTATTTATTGTCTACCTCAGTGTTAATCATGAAGACCATGTGATTATCGCGATCTTGAAGGCAATCTTTGGTCCATTTTTAGAACTGATGAGCTTATACGTTCCCATACGTAAGCTCCGAGTTCCTACATTTGATGGCAGCATCAAACTAGAAACCTCGGACCCTTCGATATTGATACTTGTATTTTCCGGAATGCTGATTGCGACCATCTTTGGCGGCATCCATTGTATGGCTTGGTCTTTTGCCTTTCCTACAAACCAAGAACAGGTCCTGTGGCGCATCAGTGCCGTCGCTATAACTTGCACACCCTGGATTGAAGTCATTTTGCCTGCAATCACTAAAGTTGTAGGCCTAGGTAACATAATGTATATGGTTGCTGCGCATATGTTTGGCCTGTTGTACATTGTATCTCGTGGTATCCTCTTGGTACTTATGTTCACGACATTACGCAATCTTCCTCTTGACGCATACAAGACGGTGTCCTGGACTAGTTTTGTGCCGCACTTGTAAGTTTGCTTATTTTCATACTTTTGTAATCATACTCGGGATTACTGGCAGTGTAATAGTACGCAAAAATTGTATTTCAGGAAAGAAAGGGTGCGTGCGATGTTCGTCTAGATTTCCTGACTCTGCTTGGACTCCGTAGCAGGCTTTACTCGTCGTTCTTGGCGATGCAGGCCTCACTATCGACGGCTGCCCTTTTTTCCCATTGCATCATCTACCAACGCCTCCCTCCACACAACAATCCCCGTCTCTAACTATGGCGGGATCGAAATTCACAAGACATGTTTCGTATTCTCCTACCCACCGAAGCGATTTTGTTCTTCACTCCACAAAATCGATTCACCCGTCAAACATGAAATACGGGCGGCGGATACGAACGCGCATGATCCAGACCGCTCAAATACTCACACCTCGTGGAAAACCCTCTTCAAGCTCGTTGGTGACTAGAGGGTGCAACAATCGTCTTCCCGCGAGGCCGCACTGGAAGTTTTGTCTCATACATGGGGAGAGTACGGTTCGCACCATTACGTTTCAGAAGATGTTTGGATTGAAAATCCGACCACTACACATCGATAATCTGGTCAGTCTGCGCATCGCCCACGTTGGTGAGTGGATATCGTCGAACGTCGCTCGCTTCGAAAGTGGGCAAGCTAGCATTGACGAGCTCATCAGGGCGTTCGACAGCACAACAGTGGATTTGAGGAGCGACATACATTTGTGCAAGCTGAAATGTGCAAGCTGCGAGCTGCTTTGTGTTCAAAGCAGACTGCACGATGGACAGCATACTTGCCAAACTTCTCATGCCTGTATACGTTCATGCGATTTTCAGCAGGGAGCTCGACGCGACTCATACAGTGTTATTTTTTCGATATGTCCGCGACAAAGGCCATGGAGGCACCGCTTCACTGCTGCCGTTGAACAAGCCCAGTCAGTCATGGAACAACATTGGAGCACAGAGAGGTGCTCGATCTCCCCACAAACGTGTTTGAGATCTGCGACATTATTTTCAGGAGCCCCGTGATCATATTTTTGTCGGATGGCGAGTGCTATATCGCAGATCAGCCTGTTCAAGATTTGTGCCGCTCTGCGGTTCGTCTTGGGTCTGTAGCCGGTTTTCCATGTTGTATTGGTAACCTGTGACACACAATCTAGCAAACCACTGTCTTTCCACGCAGTATCATTTGGTTCAGATAGTTCCTCTGCATACTCGCGAAGAATATCTTAAATTGCGCTTGACATTCAGAAAAACGCCGCAAGGGATCCATTGGTCCCCCCGGCAGCAACAGTCGCATCTTCATACACGCAGGCCTTGGACACGGTAAGAGTGCTGTTGTAAGAACACACACGAAGGGTGTTTAACACTGTCTTCAGGTACAACTCGCCGAGACATTCCTCGGAATTGCAGAATCGCTCAGGAAGCCGAGAGGGTCTCTCATCCATTGAGAAGGATGCGTTGAATATGCATAGAAAACAACAATCTATGATTAGTATACAACAGAGCCTTGACAGAGCCAGTCTTGATATCGTATTAAGGATGTAGGTATGATCGGCTAATTCCCAACGAGTTCTCACGGAAAGAGCCCGTGCCTCAAGCTCTTGGCAGAACCTTTCCTGGTGTACGCAATTTTACTCGCAATATTAATGGATCCGATTTTCGGTTTTCGATCGACGACCTGCACGAGTCGCAGCACGAGTGCCATGACACGATCTTTCGAACAAACCACAATGTAAGTCTGGCTTGAACGTGCTCATACAGTCAGCAGTTTCGGAAGTCAGTACACCCAGCATGCAGTCATGTGCGTCTCTGTTACCCAGATTCGGTGGTCTGCACGCAAAAAGAGAGAAAGGTGCGTGACCTACTGGTACCTGCACCTATACCTTAACTGCCTGATTTCCTTGTCTTCGTTGACGAAGCACGCTCACCATCGACGGCCGCGAAGTTGGGGAAAGTAGAAGTCGGGGCAGGGTTTTGGGAGGACTCGAGTGGGTGAGATTCAGAAGGAGAAGATGGTGAGTTTTTTTTTCTGGAGCTGAAGAGTCAGAAATGCGGGTGATATTGGAATGTACTGATGGCTTTTGGGATTGATTTAAGCTTCTTACGCTTCGACGACCGCAGAACGATTATGGGCGCTTCATTGGATGTGCTTCTGGTCTCCGCTTCCATCACAGGCTTGCAATCAGTTCTAGCGTGTTCTTGATCCATTTTTCACCAGGAGCTGAGCGCTGAACCCTGACGTGGCAAGGAGATACTTTGGCGCTCGGCTTCTTTGTCAGGCGATCTACATGAGATGTCATGGTAAGACGAAGACGAGTAAGACACCTCGCGAACAGTACGGCGGCGGTGAGTTCATGCTCAACGTAGGTTTATGTTCCTACTCTCTGCTAGTGTGTCAATCATTGGTATTGATAGTGCGGCGTCTCTTGACGTGTTACTTGCCCTCGTACGAGTCACGTAATGTCCACAGCTTCTTACGAGCTGCGAGGGTCCTTGTCGGCGTCTATATGGTACGTGAGAAGCTCAGCAACCTATGACTTTTGAAGCTTCAACGACCATGCCACTCAAAGATGGGTGAGGAATGTGGTAGAGGCTGTATGCTGCGTTATCGACTTTGGGTGCAATGCAACACTATGCGCGCTTCCCGGGTGGTGACGGATTGGGATTATTGATCGCGTTGATATGACTGATATGTGGTGTTCATTCAAAAAGCAAATTACAATACGTACTTTCCCTTGCGCTTGCGATGCTGTAAACACTGGGCAAGCCTGCCGTCAGGGTCTCATTGTACTGCCTCGAGAAGACGCCTGCCAGCAGATAAAATCTACATAGTGAGCAAGATATACAAACCGCAATATCTCCACCCCCAAGTGACGTCCAAAAATGCGCTTACTTACTTCTATGCATGATCCTCTACCTCGTTGGTGTAATCCAAGCCGCACCTATTACCAATGCAACTACTACCAGCGAGTATTTTGAAGCACCGTCATTCACGAATAGAACCCTGTGGAACATCATCTCCGGCTCCGTTCTCACTCTTTTCGCATGTATATATAGTGCCATCCATCCGAATATTCCGAGTCCTAAGGACAGCCCATTTTGTATCCTACGGCGGCGACTTGGCATCATGATAGTGGCACTAATTGCTCCTGAACTGGTCGTCATATGGGCTATGCGCCAGTGGATTAGCGCTCGTCACGTCACCAAAGACTTCAAAGAATCAGGGTATTTCAATGTTCCTCGGTCGCAGGAGCAGTCAGAAAGTGAGTCGTGCTTTCTGAAATTGGATATGTTCCTAGGACAACTTAGCATGCACGTCCTTAGATCATGAGTTGGCTGAAGTGCCTGCAGAGCAACTTGAAGGTGAGCTCGGCATTCTATCTTGCATCCTGGATATGCTTCCTCATGGCTCGCCTGCTTCTCAAGATCACGATAGAGCCTGGCTTCTCGTTGCGCCTGCTGAAGGTGAACCATCTGGTGGTGTTTCTTCGGCAGTTCATAGTACTCCAGTGTCCACTTCAAGATACGGGGGAACTCGTGCTCTTGCGAAGCCATTTAAAAAGCTGTTTCAAGCTTACTTTTCAGATCAATCTGAGGGTAAGCCCGGTTCGCGCTCTCCCAAACGTTTGACTGATAATAAATCCTTAGATTACGCGTGGACTCAGACGCACAGTTTCTTTGTGCTGATGGGCGGTTTCATGCTTTATGTGGACGGGAAACCCTACCGTACACTACTGCCTGACAAGGTTCTCGAGCTGATACGTAAAGGGTGTATTGATGCCCCTACCCTAACGGCAAAGCGGATCCACGACAAGAGCAAAGGCAATGTGATATCGAAAGGATTGATCATGCTTCAGGTGGCCTGGTTCATTCTGCAGCTCATCTCCCGCGCCATCTATCACCTCGAAACCACCCAGCTGGAAACGGGGACACTCGCCTTTGCGGTTCTCAATTTCCTCACCTATGCGCTGTGGTGGAATAAGCCTATTGATGTTCAGTGTCCATATCCGGTGTATTGGAAGTCGACCGAGTCAAAGCCGGAGGATCACATTCATGAGTATGTTTGCGCCTAGATCGATTATGCCGTTATTTATTGTCTACCTCAGCGTCTCTGAAGTTGATGACAACACTGGGCTGGACGCAATCTTGGTTCCAGCCTTCGGTCCATTTATGGATCTGATGGGGTTCGCCGGCGGCGTTCGCACGCATAAGCTCCTAGTTTCTACATTTGATGGCAGCATCAAATTAGAAGACTCGGACACGTATATACTTATGTTTGCCGGATTTCTGATGGCGACCATCTTTGGCGGCATCCATTGTATGGCTTGGTTTTTTGCCTTTCCTACAAATTTGGAACGGCTCCTGTGGCGCATCAGTGCCGTCGCTATAACTTGCACACCCTGCCTTGAAATTCTTTTTACCTTAGTTGGGAGAACACTTGAATGGGACATAATAATTGTTACTATAATTATATCTGCCCTGTTGTACGTTGTATCTCGTGTTATGCTCTTGGTACTTATGTTCACGACATTGCGCCATCTTCCTCTTCACGCGTACATGACGGTGTCGTGGATTAGTTTGGTGCCGCACTTGTAGTTTGCTTACTTTCATATTTTTGGAATCATACTCAGCATTATACAGGCACTGTCATAGTACGCAAAAATTGTATTTCAGGAAAAAAGGTGCATCCGATGTTCGTCTAGATTTCAGACACTCCTCATTGGCAGGCTTTCCTCGTTGTTCTTGGCGATGCAGGCCTCCCTATTGACGGTTGCCCTTTGCTCCCATCTACAAACGCCTCCCTCCACACAACAATCCCCGTCTCTAACTATTGCGAGATCGAAATTCACAAGACACGTTTCGCACCGAAGCAGTTCTGTTCTCCACTCCACAACATCGATTCACCAGTCAAACCTGAAATGCGGGACGCGGATACGAATGAGCATGATCTAGAGCGCTCAAGTACTCACCTCGCGGAAAACCCTCTTCAGATCCCCTCTCAAACCTCCGTATCCTCCAGAGTCCACACTCGTGCCATCCCCACTCAAGTTCTCGCCGCTGAAGAACTCCCAGGTCCCATAAACAGAGGAAATAGAAGATTGAATCGTGCTTGTGGCCTCCAACGACTCAACATGTTGTACAGGTAGAGAAGGACATGGAGCGTGTCGTTGTCCCAACGCATCCTTCGCCCACCCTACCTCCAAAGGCCAAGACCAAGCGCTTATCTGTACAAGACGCCGAAAAGACGAACTCGACCCTCGTTCCACTACCGTACTGATTCGCAGTGTACATCGTCCCGCTATGGCACGTGAGGTTGAGGAGGTGATTGTAGGTGAGGCAACTGTGGAGGAGGGCAAGGAACTGATAACGAGGAAGACTCAACGACGACAATGAAGGAAGTGCAGGGAACGAGCACGAAGAATTCATGAAGATTGAAGTGGCGTAGACTCACACATCACCGCCACTGAGCCTACTCTTCAATCAAGCACATGGCGCAAATCTCCCAATGCCATGCGTGAACACGTTGTATGGCCTTTCTGCTCGAGTTCCACCGCATTCAAAGAAATTGACGAAGACGATGAGCAAGATACAGATGAGGACTAAGAGGACAAGGTACGTCTCCTCCTTGTTTCTATTCATCATACGAACCGTGAACCATCAGCACGCTCAAATGGACACCGAACAGGACGCCCAACTCCCAACTTCATCTTCCTCGCCTATTCCTCATCACAACAAGTCTAGCCCATCAGTATCAGCCGCAGCGCAATGCGCCACTTTGATTCGGCACGTCCTCTCTTAACACCTCCCCACGTTTCCACAGGACCCGTCGGTGCAAATGCAGATGGCCCGGGTGAATCAGGTGCAGACACCCCGGGGTCAGGGCATGTGCAATGCCCCGCCAAAGGTATAAGGTGTGGAGGGAGTGACGTAGGAAGAGGGGAAGGTAGGGGTGGAATTTGGGAGGACGCAGGTGAGTGAGGAGGAGATGAGCGTGAGTACATGCCTTTCGCTTTTCTGGAGCTTGGGGAGTTGGGAACTCACATGGGTGTTGCGTTGGAACCGAACCGCGTGTTTCTGTAAGGTCTAGTTCGGTGCATATATGCATGCATACGGGCGCGTGGATTGTCTCTCTTGACCTCCCTTTCTAACTCTGCCCAGCCTTATTGTCAGCGATATTGGGAATACCGAAAGTCCCTTCGTCACCGTTCATTTACGATTTGTCTCAATTTGAAGAGATCGAAATTGCACGCTGGATCTGTGGTCCCTTGAGGTCTTTCTTTACGCGCATCAGCGGAAAAATATATCGGGTTCATTGTGCTCCTGCTCTGGAGTTCTCGTCTTCAAGCGCCAAGAGGAGGCTTGAAAATGCTAGCTCGCGCTGACGAGCTTTTGCGTTAATACTTATGTTATGGTAATCTTCTCAACCGCAACCTTTCCCTCCGCCCAGCCTTGCTCACAACTCTGCTTCCGAGCTTCAATTAACATTTTGAGTATATTTTGTACTGTCTCCCACTTTTGAATCATTCCCTGGCTCCTCAGACGATTTATTTTCGTTGCAATGACAGATGCGAGTTGCGCTGAGATATAGAAAGGAAAGTACTGCTGCGACCTTCACAGCTTCGTCGATTGTGGATGCCCCGACATGAAATTTATAATCTTCAGACTGACAGCGTGAGCGACGCAACGGTGGCACACTGGCGAACACTCAGCAAAGACGAGTGAAAGATCGAGGGACTTCAACCTGGGCTCACAGAAAAACCTAGGTGTCTATAGAAATACGAGGCATGTTGATGTAGTGAAGCAGTAACAAATGCACAGTACACGCACCTCAGCAGCAAGACACTCACAATCCTCAAACCCTTGTGGAACATGCTGACCATCAGTTTCTAGTGAAATATTTGTTGCTGCTCGTTCCAAGTATCACACTCGATTGAAAGTGAGAAGTGATCACGAGAGCACCTTAACGGCAGTCACGCATTTTCCCGATGTTGACAGGCTCGTAAGACAAGATACTTCATTTGTGGGTGAGGATACGTTTAAGAAGACGGGGGAACATTGATACTTCATCCCACCAGCAGTATTATGCTCCTAGTACTGCCTGAGAACGCAGAGAAATGAACTTGTATTCTAGGTGTTGGATGGTCTTGATGATGAAGCAGTTCGCCTGAGAATTAGAAAGAGTCGCATGGACGTACCGGGGATGGGGAAGATGCACGTATTTGGAGGTAGTATGTACATGGAGTCTAGAGAGAAGTGGATTTCGGTCGCAGAAGACCCATGGTGCGTAGTATTTGTTTGCAAGTCATTTTTGGTAGATCTGGGAGTTCGTTATCGATGCCAGGGTAGTGTGAGTCTGGGATATGGATCAGATGGCCAGAGTATGGAGTTCAATCATCGATGAGTTCGTTTATACTAGTATCCAGGATGAAGCGATTCGTCGAATTCGGCAAAGGTCACGGTGGATGGGGTGGCTGTGCTTCTTTTTCGTTCTTCTCCGACTCGGAAGTTCGAACCAAGAAATGCCAGTGGACAGCTGGGCGGCACGGTCAATCGTTCGGCTTTTTCTGTTTTCACGGGTTTGCATTGCCCTACGAATACTCGATTGTACCTTGGTGTGCTAAATGAGTCGTGCTGTCCAGGAGCAAACACCATAGTACGTCATCGTGTCATATTTTGGTCTCAGCGTTTAGTCTAATCGTACCAGCGTCTATTGTGCTGAACGGCCCTCAACAACATGATCCAAATACACGTGCAGCCATCACCCGAAATTCGAACCTCTTCTCCTCCTCTCGGCTGAACTCCATTTATATTCACGGTCCACATGTCCCTACCCCCGTCTTCTCCTACTGCTCATTCCACCCACCACTAAGCCCATCCTCGAGCCTCATCGGTTTGTTTCATCGTACCATCATGCCCGGCAGCATAGAAAGCCATTCTATCACACTTGAATGTATGTTACTTCATATCACCTTTGTATTTCTTTTGTGATCATTACCCTCTATCTACAGTTATCGATGGACATAATCTTCAAGTCCCTTCCAAGCGCATGCCCGCTGGTATTTACATATCCATCAATGTCGATTCGAGGAGACGCTGGAACTCAGCCATTAGAGTCTTGTCATCCGACAAATCCGTAGCGTGGGGAGATAGCGTGAACCTGTAAAGTCCATAGAAACTTTCGGACACGATTCAAGACTGATCTTCGGTTCATAGATCATCACACGAGTCACCTGCATTACCAATGGAGATTAGAGCGTCCTTTGAGCAAGATCGAACGCTGGGCAATGGTGAAATAATCGGACAACTTCAAACATCGTGGGATGAGTTGCTCGATCATGGAGATGAACCATTCAGTGAGTGATCTACTTCTCATTCCTGCACATCTACTCACATCCTGTAGAACTGTCCTTCCTACCTGTTCGTGGTGTTAATCCTTCGCTCACGCTGAAGGCCACTGTTGTACATGCTAGCGATTGTCAGGACGGCGCACTACTTGACGTGAGCGACCCCATACTTTGTCCTGTTAGTTATGTTGACAGAACACCAACTGTAGTCCCTCGTGGACTGCGAGATCGCTCAAGACACAGATGCAGGGCCGTAAAACCATGTCATGGATTTAAGGTTTACTCAATTTATCATGACTGGTGCAGTGCTGACAGCCTCGTGAAGGCTACGTCCGATTACTTAGCCATGCCACAACTGCATCCGCAGGCAACAGCGACCATCGAACTGCATAAACCTTGGTTATTGCACGGCGAGACTGCTCAAGGGTTCATGATAATCAGCAATCTACCGGCAAGGGAGATTGACCGTGCATGGAAGCGCCAGTCCATCAATCACCTCCAGTTATGCACTTGGTGCTCTGGCATTTGGACTGCAAGAGGTCAATTTCGACCCGGAACCTTTGAAGGTGTGAACTACTTCTGTTGTTGGATTTATTCGGATTTTACGTTGCGTTTATGAAGACCTTGGATAACGATGTCCCCATTGACATGCCTGATACTTCTATTGAAATTTCGGTGACTAGAGAGGTGCAACAATCGTCTTCCCGCGAGGCCGCACTGGAAGTTTTGTCTCATACATCAGGGCATTCGGCAGCACAACAGTGGATTTGAGGAGCAACGTGCATTTGCGCAAGTTGAAATGTGCAAGCTGCGAGCTGCTTTGTGTTCAGAGCAGACTGCACGATAGACAGCATACTTGCCAAACTTCTCATGCCTGTATACATTCTTGCGATTTTCAGCAGGGACCTCAACGCGACTCATACAGTGTTATTTTTTCGACATGTCCACGACAAAGGCCATCGTTAACGATTTCTCTAGTTCTCCTGACCAGTTACTAGATGCCATGCTGCCTCATTTTGCATATGGAGGCACCGCTTCACTGCTGCCGTTGAACAAGCTCAGTCAGTCATGGAACAACATTGGAGCACAGAGAAGTGCTCGATCTCCCCACAAACATGTTTGAGATCTGCGACATTATTTTCAGGAGCCCCGTGTTCATATTTTTGTCGGATGGCGGGTGCTATATCGCAGATCAGCCTGTTCAAGATTTGTGTCACTCTGCATTTCGTCTTGGGTCTGTAGCCGGTTTTCCATGTTGTATTGGTAATCTGTGATACACGATCTAGCAAACCACTGTCTTTCCACGCCGTATCATTTGGTTCAGATAGTTCTTCTACATACTCGCGAAGAATGTCTTAAATTGCGCTTGAGATCCAGAAAAACGCCGCAAGGGATCCATTGGTCCTCCCGGCAGCAACAGTCGCATCTTCATACACGCAGGCCTTGGACACGGTATGAGCGCTGTTGTAAGAACATACACGAAGGGTGTTTAACACTGTCTTTAGGTACAACTCGCCGAAACGTTCCTCGGAATTGCAGAATCGCTCAGGAAGCCGAGAGGGTCTCTCATCCATTAATTGGAGGATGCGTCGAATATTTACAGAAAACAACAATGTATGATTAGTATACAACAGAGCCAGTGTTGATATCATTTAAGAGGTACGATCGGCTAATTCCCGACGAGTTTCCCACGGCAAGAGTTTGTGCAGAACTTTTCCTGGCATTCTAGTACTCGCCATCGATGGATGCAACCAATTTTTGATTTTCAATCGACGACCTGCACGAGTGCCATGACACGAACTTCCGAACAAACCACAATCTAAGTCAGGCTTGAAATTGCTCGGCCAGTCAGCAGTTTGGAAGCCACCCAGCATGCAGCATGTACGTTTACTACCCAGATTCAGTGGTCTGTACACAACAAGACAGGTGCGTGACTCACTGGTACCTGCGCTGATACCTTAACTGTTTCTGTTTGCTTTCCTCGTCTTCGTTTACGAAGCACGCCTCACCATCGACGGCTGCGAAGTCGGAGAAAGTAGAAGTAGGGGCAGGGTTTTGGGAGGACTCGAGTGAGTGAGATTCAGAAGGAGAAGGTGAGTTCGTTTTTTGTTGTTCTGAAGCTGAACAGTCAGAAATGCGGGTGATATTGGAATGTACTGCTGGCTTTTGGGATTGATTTAAGCTTCTTACGCTTCGACGACTGCAGAACGATTATGGGTGCTTCATTGGATGTGCCTTTGCTCTCTGCTTCCATCACAGGCATGTGTTGCAATCAGTTCTAGCGTGTTCTTGATCCATTTTTAAACAGGAGCTGAACCCTGGCGTGGCAAGGAGATACTTTGGCGCCTGGCTTCTTTGTCAGGCGATCTACATGAGATGTCATGGTAAGACGAAGACGAGTAAGACACCTCGCGAACAGCACGGCGGCGGCGAGTTCATGCTCAAGATGGGTTTATGTTCCTACTAATCTCTGCTCGTGTGTCAATCATTGGTATAGATGGTGAGGCTTCTCTTCCTTGACGTGTTACTTACCCTCGTACGAGTCACGTAATGTCCACAGCTTCTTACGAGCTGCGAGGCGGCGTCTATATAGAAAATGAGAAGATCACCAACCTATGACTTTTGAAGCTTCAACGACCGTGTCACTCAGATGGGTCAGGAATGTGGTAGAGGCTGTATGCTGCGTTATCGACTTTGGTTGCGATGCAACTGTACGCGCGCTTCCCGGGTGGTGACGGATTGGGTGAAGGATTATTGAACGTGTTCATCTGACTGATATGTGGCGTTCATTCACACAGCCAATTACACTGCTTTCCCTCGCGCTTGTTATGCTGTAAACACAAAGCAACCCTGCCGTTAGGGTCTCCCAGCAGATAAAATCTACATAGTGAGCAAGATGTACAAACCGCAATATCTCCACCCCAACGTGACATCCAATAATGCGCCTACTTCTATGCACGATCCTCTACCTCGTTGGAGTGATCCAAGGCGCACCTACTACCAATGCAACTACTACCTGCGAGTATTTTGAAGCACCGTCATTCACGAATAGAAGGCTATGGAACATCGTCTCCGGCTCCGTTCTCACTCTTTTCGCCTGTATATACAGTGCCATCCATCCAAATATTCCGAGTCCTAAGGACAGCCCATTTTGTATCCTACGGCGGCGACTTGGCATCATGATAGTGGCACTAATTGCTCCTGAACTGGTCGTAGTATGGGCAATGCGCCAGTGGATCAGCGCTCGTCGTGTTACGAAATGGTTCAAGGAATCGGGCTATTTCAATGTTCCTCGGCCGGAGAATCAGTCTGAAAGTGAGTTGTGCTTTCTGAAAATAGATATGTTCCTCGGACAGCTCATCATGCACGTCCATAGATCATGAATTGGCTGAAGTGCCTGCAGAGCAACTTGGAGGTGAGCTCGACATTCTATTTGAACCCTGAATATGCTTCCTCATGGCTCACCTGCCCCTGAAGATCATGCAAGATATGGAGGAACGCATACTCTTGCGAAGCCATTCAACAAGTTATTTCAAGCTTACTTTTCAGATCAATCCGAAGGTAAACTGCGTTCGCGCTCTTCCAAACGTTTGACTGATGTGGATCTTTAGATTACGCGTGGACTCAGACGCACAGCTTCTTTGTGTTGATGGGCGGTTTCATGCTTTATGTGGACGGGGAACCCTACCGTACACTACTGCCTGATGAGGTTCTCGAGCTGATACGCAAAGGGTGTATTGATGCCCCTACCCTAACGGCAAAGCGGATCGGCGACCGGAGCAAAGGCAATGCTATATCGAAAGGATTGATCATCATTCAGGTGGCCTGGTTCATCCTGCAGCTCATGTCCCGCGCCATCTATCACCTCGAAACCACCGAGCTGGAAACAGGGACGCTCGCTTTTGCGGTTCTCAATTTCCTGACCTATGCTGTGTGGTGGAATAAGCCTCTCGATGTGCAGTGTCCATATCCAGTGTACTGGAAGTCGACCGAGTTAAAGCCAGAGGATCACGTTCATGTGTATGTCTGCGGTTCAATCAATTATGCCGTTATTTATTTTGTCTACCTTAGTGTGTTTGATTATAATGAAGACAATGTGGTTATGGCAGCCATCACTCCATTTATTTATCTGATGGGCTTCGACGTTCCCACGCGTAAGCAGCTCCGAGTTCCTACATTTGATGGCAGCATCGAACTAGGACAATCGGACAGGGTGATTCTTATATTTGCCGGAGTTCTGATGGCGACGATCTTTGGCGGCATCCATTGTATGGCTTGGTTTTTTGCCTTTCCTACAAATCAGGAACGGCTCCTGTGGCGCATCAGTGCCGTCGCTATAACTTGCACACCCTGGATTGAATTTCTTTTGGGTGCAATGTATGATAGAGATGTCATAGGTGCTTTCATGGCTGGTAGTGCTATGGTTATATTGGCCATGTTGTATATTGCATCTCGTGGCATCCTGTTGGTACTTATGTTTACGACATTACGCCATCTTCACGTTGACGCATACAAGACGGTGTCGTGGATTAGTTTGGTGCCACACTTGTAGTTTGCTTATTTTCTTACTTTTGTAATCATACTCAGCATTACAGGCTGCACTAGTGTTACATATAGCACGCAAAAATTGTATTTCAGGAAAGAAAGGCGTGTGCGATGTTCGTTCACATTTTCTAACACTGATGGAACTCATTGGCGGGTTTTCCTCGTCGTTCTCGGCGATGAAGGCATCACTATCGACGGCTGCCCTTTGCTCCCATCATCTACCAACGCCTCCCTCCACATAACAATCCCTGTCTCTAACTATTGCGGGATCGAAATTCACAAGACACGTTTCGTATTCTCCTACCTGCCGAAGTAGCTCTGTTCTTCACTCCACAACATCGATTCACCAGTCAAACCTGAAATGCGGGAGCGGATACGAATGAGTACGATCCAGAGCACTCGAGTACTCACACCTCGTGGAAAACCTTCTTCAGATCCCCTCTCAAACCTCCGTATCCTCCAGAGCCCACGCTCGTGCCATCCCCACTCAAGCCCTCGGCGCTGAAGAACTCCCAAGTCTCAGAACCAGACGAAATAGAAGAAGAAATCGTGCTTGTGGCCTCCAACGACTCAACATGTTGTACAGGTGGAGAAGGACCTGGAGCGTGTCGTTGTCCCAACGCCTCCTTCACCCACCATACCTCCAGAGGCCAAGACCAAGCGCTAATCTGCACAAGACGCCGAACAGACGAACTCGACCCTCGTTACACTGCCGTACCGATTCGCAGTGTACATCGTGCCGTCATGGCGCGCGAGAAAGAAGACGCAGAGAAAGAGATTGAGGAGGTGATTATCCCCATACGAAGGTGTCGAGATTGCACGGTGCATGCGTTGTACATTGAGGCCTCACTTGGCGCACAGCGGCGAGAAGATTCCAGCTGTGTATCACGGTCTGGGTCCAAAATACATGATGCAAGCAGTATTACTATACGATGCGCAATATAATATCTATAATAGAGGGTATGAGTCATGTGTGTTTCTGTGAGATGTTTTGATGTTCAGGCAAGGAGGGTGAACGCTGGACCGAACCCTTATGAACGCGTTCAAACGCTCGAACGCCAAGTCGGGAGAGTTGGGCAACTCGGGTAAGTTGGTGGAGGGCGCCTCGGGCGAGTTGAGCGAGTCGGGATTACTTGTGCGGTGGGTGGTGTCCATAGTGTTAGGCGCACTAGGTGTGCCAGGGCCGTTGGAGTGAATAAGCGCGGGGAACTTGACTAGCATTCGCTTTGCTAGCGCTGGCGAGTTGGGTCGTGTTTGTCGTACGTGCACTACGAAAGCACGACACAGCAGTAGGAATCGGAATCGATGTGGCACGTGCATCGTTGGTGCTGGCGTGGTGGGTTGAATGTCCTGTATGAAAGAATTACGTCCCAACTCACCAGCGCCAGAACAACAGCCTTAGGCGTGCGCAACCGCCTGGATACATGATGTGAACACGGATTTACAATTCGACGGGGCACGTGAATGCTAGCAAAATGATCAGCGTGGAGGCATGTGCATCGCTGGCGCTTGAGAATCGGTTTGGGTTGCATTTGACGCGGCTTCCAACTCCAACTTACCAGCGCCAAAATGACAGCTCCAGGCCTGCGCGTCCACCTGGATACATTATGTGATTACTTATTCAGAAGGAAGTATGGGACGTACGTCTTTGCAACTGCAAGCGGTAGTCGCGTGATAATTAGAAGGGGTCGCATGTACTGGGGATGGTGAAGATGCTTGGTAGTGGTTTTCGGTCGCAGCAAACCCATGGTGCGTAGTACTGTTTGTAAGTCATTTATCGCGGATCTGGGAGTTCGTTCTCGACGTCAGGGTAATGTGTGTTTGGGATGTGGATCAGATGGCCAGGGTACGTATGTATACGACGGGGTCACGGTAGAGTCCAGATTCGTTGAATTTGGCAAAGGCGCGGTTACCGGAATGGGTGGCTGTGCTTCTTTTTCTTCTTTCCTTTCCTTGGAAGTTCGAACCAAGAAATGGACTTGCAATTGGGCGACACTTTTACAGCGGCTCGCTCAACAGTAGACACTCCCCAGGTATTTTTTAGACTGATCGTCGCTTGTTCTAGGTCGCATTCACGTTCTTCGTCACTTCCGACTCATACTCTCGCAAACCGTTCCCGGTGTTTCTATAACACTCTCAATCGTCCTTCCCCCATGGTACTGTCAGCTCAATCGTACTCATATATAATCGTTCACCGGTTTGCATTACCTTACGAATAAACTCGATTCTATATTTCACCTTGGTGTGCTAAATGAGTCGTGCCGTCCAGGAGTAGCAAATATCGTAGTACGTCATCGCGTCATCTCTTGGTCTCAGCGCTTAGTCTAATCGTAGCAGCGTCTACTGTGCTGAACAGCCCTTTGACAACAACATGATCCAAATACACGTGCAGCCATCACCCGAACCTCGAACCTCTTCTCCGCCTCTCGGCTGAACTCCATTCACGGTCCACGTGTCCCTACCCCCGTCTTCTCCTACTGCTCATTCCACCCACCACTAAGCCCATCCTCGAGTCTCATCGCTTTGTTTCATTGTACCATCATGCCCGGCATCATAGAAAGCCAATCTATCACACTTGAATGTATGTTACTTCATATCACCTTTGTATTTCTTTTGTGATCATTACCCTCTATCAACAGTTATCGATGGACATAATCTTCAAGTCCCTTCCAAACGCATGCCCGCTGGTATTTACATATCCATCAATGTCGATTCGAGGAGACGCTGGAACTCAGCCATTAGAGTCTTGTCATCCGACAAATCCGTAGCGTGGGGAGATAGCGTGACCCCGTAAAGTTCATACAAACTTTCGGACACGATTCAAGACTGATCTTCGGTTCATAGATCATCACACGAGTCACCTGCATTATTAATGGAGATTAGAGCGTCCTTTGAGCAAGATCGAACGCTAGGCAATGGTGAAATCATCAGGAAACTTTAGACATCGTGGGATGAGTTGCTCGATCATGGAGATGAATCATTCGGTGAGTAACCTACTTCTCGTTCATGTGTATCTACTCACATCCCGTAGAACTATCCTTCCCACCCGTTCATGGTGTCAATCCTTCGTTCATGCTGAAGGCCACTGTTGTACACGCTTGCGATAATCAGGACGGTGCACTATTTGACGTGAGTGACACTGACCTCTGCTGGTAGCTTCTGCTTACGGAACACCAACTATAGTCCCCTGTAGACTGCGAGATTGCTCAAGACACAGATGCGGGCCACGCACGATATGCCGAATACAGGACCAGACAGACGGTCTCTCACCTGAACGATGCTTTAGAGCATTTTCAGTTGGTTCTGGACGGCTGTCCGGTCGACCATCCTGACCACGCAGCGGCACTCACCAACCTCACCCGGGCCCGCCTTCAAGGCTACGTTCAAAACGATCTCCAAGACATTGATACCACCACTTCCCTCCTCCACGAAGCCCTTGCATTGCGTCCGCAGGGCCATCCGGACCACATATTATCTCTCTATAATATCATTACATCATTGAACTGGCGCTACAGCAAGGAGCCCGCTGCCGCCTATCTTCACGAATCCCTGCAGCTGTGCTGAAAGCTACTGCCCCTCTTTCCAGAGGGCATCTACCTTCGTAGCATCGGCGTAGACGTGATCAGCGGACGCAACAACCCGACCAACGATGCATCTGACGAAGGCATCCACCTTCAACGAGTCGTGCTCAAGCTCTGTCCTCCGGGCCATCAACGCCGTCCCATTGCCCTCACCACTCTTGTACTCGCACTCAATGCACGCTTTAGAGAACGCGGGAGCATTGCTGATCTAGAAGAGAGCATAGAGATACTTTGGCGCTCGGATTCTTTGTCAGGCTACATGAACTGTCTCGTGTCATGATAAGGTGAAATCAATCTAAACACTATTGGCCTATCGACGGGATTGAAACGACCTTCAGATTCACTGTCGTTCAAGTTGTGACCAAGCTCGGGGCACAACGCAGACGCTGACGAGCAAGACATCTCACGAACAGTACGGCGGCTGATTCATGCTCGACGTGGGTTTACGCCTGCTAATATCTTATCGGGTGTCAATCATTGGTAGATATAGTGCTGCTTCTCTTCCTTGATAATCGGACACCATGCTACTGTCCCTTGTACGAGTCATGTAATGTCCACAGCGTCTTACGAGCTGCGAGGTCCTCGTCCGCGTCTATGGTACATCAGATTATCAGCAACAGATGATTCTTGGTGCTCCACTATAACCATGCCACTGAAAAATGGGTCGGGAACGTGTAGAGACTGTATGCTGTGTCATAGGCGGAGAGTCGATCTTTGATCGTGTTTCTATATGGTACTATTTGGTGAGTATTGCAATAAGGTCACCTCTTCAAGCTTTTCAATCCTCCTGTTTATGTGTACGATCTGGTCTTTGACCTACAAACAACGCATACAGGACATCAAGCGCCCAATTGCCGTGGTGGCTGTCTTGCTGTAGATACTGAGTACTGCGGTTGGCGCTTCTTGTTTCTTACATCTGTTGTCATTTGCTGACATCTTCCAAGCACATAATGGTGAACATTATTGGTTTTTAATATGCATTTGTGAAGTATTGAAGCATGCGTTCTATGTCTTACAAACTCTTCCGATTGCTGATGGGGTGGTAGGTAGGTTTATTTTTATTTGCCCGTTTAAACCCCTCCGTCATTTTCAGTTCCAATTTATGTTCATTTAAACATCTGGGCTTATCAAAATTCCCTGGTCATAGATTTATCGCTGCTATGTTGTTTGGCAATCAGTCTGGGCTATCATCCTACCAAGTATGACGTGGTGTAGCGTCGCAGGTTAGTTCGCAGTTACGCTCAGGAAGTCGAGCGCCCTGACGTTGCTTTGAAGTGACTGGTGTTGTTGGACTCTACTGCGCTTCGCAATCCAGGGGTGACTCCGGAGACAACTACGCCCGAATGCTTGCAAACTGGGTCGCTGCGTTCTTTGCACTGACAATTGCGACCAATTTGCTAAGTTCAGGTATGCCATTTTTCTGCCTGAGCGCGGTGCCGAGGCCCTGATTGTGTCCAGGACTACTGGTATATCGTATATATCGTATATGGATGACTGAATGCGATAGGCCTAGAGTTCGCGCTACGAAAGGCACTATGATGCCGATAATGCGCATGCTTATGGACACTGCTGTTTTGTACTTTATGGTGAGCTTCACGGCGTTAATTTGTTACGTCTGCTCAAACAATCGAGCAGTTGTCATGCTAGACATGGTGATTCCGCCCCAAACACCCACTGTCGACAAAAAAAAACTGAGCTTCGATTAACTAGGTCATGCCGATCGTCTCAATTGCCTTCTACATGGTGCTCATTCGCATCGCTAGAAAAAACTGTACTCGCCGCAGTTACTCGAACATCAATTTACCCAGAAGGTCAGCAAGCGAGGCGGGATAGGAAAGCCCGCGGCAATATACTGTGAAGCCTTTGCAGGTTCATATACCCCAATTTAATGATGGTAGCCCTGGGTACGGCAAAGCTAATGAAGACCAGGCGGAGACTGTGTGAAGGGCACCTTGAATTTAAAACATACGTATGTACGAGTATTTCCCTTCGCTCGGTTCTTGTTTCGGCCCTCCAGTGACATAGTGCACGACACAACCTATGGTGTGCGATACTAATGTCATTGCATCAAGTGCGAATTGGAGTGAACCGGCCAAACCCAATGCATATCATAGATTTGTATTTTTAAACCTCACTGATGATAAGAGCCATATTATCTGCTGTCACGGTGCAGCATACCGTAACTCATCTCCCATGGTCTGTCAGTGTCAACCACATCGTCCTGCTTCTACAGTGAAATGCTCATCACGAGATCCATCAGGTACCCACCCCTGACTGGCATGGATTGATGCGTACCCGAGTCCTGAGAAGATGACCGAAGTCGGTTTGCATATACATAATGATATTGCTGAAAGCATTCACCTTCGCACCGTGACATCTCCCAAACTGTAGGCATTGATGGCTTCAAGAGGTATTCCGCAGGATACGGGCGCTCTAATGTCAGCAGTGCTGGAAGGCATTTTATATGGTGAGTATCGCAATCATTAGGTTTGTACATCCATGCTCACCATGCGAGGGTAACTTCTCCAGGCTTTTCAGTACTCATGTTTATAGGTACCATCTGGGCTTTGGCCTACAAAAAGCGCATGCAGAACGTCAGTCGCCCAATCACCGTGGTGGCCATCCTGCTGTTGGTAGTGAGTACCGTGGTTAGTATCTGGCTCCTTACATGTGATGCCATCCGAGTCTGCTGACATTCCCCAAGCATATGGTCGTGACCATAATTCGTGTCGAAGATGGACTGGTGAAATATCGCGACACGTACCCAGGCGGGCCAGCAGCATATTTTGCAGACCTTACGCAACAAACGTATGTGATCAAGCATGCGTTATACATCTTGCAAACCCTACTTGCTGATGGCGTATTGGTGGGTTCATATTTTCTCTCCCAGTTTAGGACCTCTGGGCTTATAGAAGTGCTTTATCTGGTTAAAGACATATCGCTGCTATGTTGTTTGGCAATCTGTCCGGGTTATCATCCTACCAACGCTGCTATGGTGTAGTGTCGCAGGTCAGCGTGCAATGTCATTCAGGATACCGCTTGATCTCATGTTGGCTTGCAGTGACTGGAATTCATGCGGTCTATAGCGTTTCCCAAGCCAGTAGTAATCCCTTAGACGTCTTCGCCCCAGATCTTACGAAGTGGATCACGGCATTCTTTGCCTCGACTATCACAACTAACTTGTTGACTTCAGGTGAGCACATTTCCGCGAGCGTGGTATCAAGGCCCTAAACATGTCCAGGATTACTGGCATATCGCATCTGGATGATCGAACGTAATGTCTACAAAGCGCGTGCTACAATAGGTCCCATGATGCCAATAGTGCGCATGCTTGTGGATGCCGCTGTTTTGTACTCTGTGGTGCTCTTCAGTCTCTTAATCTGTTTCGTCTGCTCGAACAACGGAGAGTCTGTTTTGACGGACTTGGTGATTCTGCCGTTTATGTCTGTCACGAAAAAAGGCTGAGCTCTGATAAACTAGGTCGTGCCGATCATATCGATTACCTTCTACATGGTGCTTATCCGCATCGCAATCAACAGAAAAAATCACGATCACCTGTCGACAATCTCGGCTCTCCATAGAGGGACTACCGAAGGCAGGGAACAGGAAAACTTGCAGCAATACCCTATGAAGCCCTTGCAAGTCCATATATCCCAATTTACGCAGGACGACAGTACATCAGCTTACAGAGTAGGGAATGAAGACCGACAACCATCGAGATACAAGGCGTAGGATATGTAAAGGACACCTTGAATGCTATTGACTTCGCGTGTTTCTAATTTCACATGTCTTCGTGTTCTATTGTAGATATCGCACCTGTGGGTTCCCATGACACGTCTGGGACTACATGATGGAGAGAGTCGGGATCGTTGAGAGCAGGGTTATACGTACACATATAGATCATCTTCGCACCCAATGAAGAACGAATAAAACAACAATAGCACATGAAGGAATGAAATTGGGACTACGGGCAAATAATTGCACAGCAACCAAAAAAAGACAAACGAAACCACGCACCTCCCACCAACATGTCATGCCGCTCAAACGCAACGGAGGTTGTGACAGGAGGACTAGGATAACGGTACCAGAGTGAAGACCAACCACCGAATGCAAGGTGGGGTTTGTGTAAAAGGCATTTTTGAACATGTAGCCAACCTGAATTTGGCCTTAATATTTTGCACATCCCAGAGATTTGCTGCGCTTCTGGAAACCACGCTGAAAAAGAAAAAAAGATATCGGGAAAGAATGTCGGCAAAAAGAAAAGATCTCACACATTCAGCACCGTCTCGCGGCCTAAAATCACAATACAGAAAGGACTGAGTAAAAGAGCGTGGTGGCTCTTCAATATTCTCACCCATAGTGAGAGCGGAGATGGGGGATGCGTGCGTTTGTTCGTTACTGATGGGACGTGTTAGGTGCGTTTGAATGAAAGGGAGGCAAAGAGGGGTATGTGTCACAACGCGAACAAAAATGAATAGCATGTCATTAATGATTGAAACGGGAACGAAAGAAACGGGTACTACTGTCCAAAGGACACTCGTACAAAATAACAGGAAACTCATAAAAACGGACGAACAAAAGCACGCACCTCTCGTCATCACGTCATATTGTTCAAAACTTCAAATGCAACAGAAGTCGCGACGAGCGACAGGAGGACAATGCTAGCCGGGCCGAGTGGGTAGCGCACTCTGGAATATGGTGTTGTTGGTGTAGGAAGTATTGGGTAAGATGGGGCACACAGGTCCCAAGCATATGACGTAGATCAACCAACCAAGATCTGACAAAGGGAAGATGGTAACACAGTGATAAAAAACGTAACACGCACCAGCGCACTAAACAAAAAAAAACATGCACCACAACATCTCAGGCCGCTCATGTCCCCAGTGATGATGTCTATCATCCCCATATCATATCTGCGCCGCGCAGACCCAGGCTGCTTGTGATACTCCTGCTGATGCACTGAGGACTGACTCAATCGATGCAAGGGTGACTGAGAATGTGGTGGCAGTTGTTGTCTATTGTTGTGCAAAGGCTTTGTGCCTGATTACTAGTAGGTATTTTCTTGATCTCAACGGCCTTCCGAAAATCGAATGCGCACGCGCACGATTGGTCTTCCTGTTGAATTCCCAGATTCCGTCTGAGGATGCGGAAAGGCTTCGTCCCTGGCCCTGAATTGCCAGTCCGAGCAGGTCTCAGGCTGGAGTTATATATGTAGGTGTATTGTCTTGGCGCAGGAGATAGGCCACCGAAACCCGAGTCAAACTCGTGAAAGCGTTTGGAAAGTAATTGTGACATCAGCTGTGCAGGTTGCCCTGTAGGGATATCGGCTTCCACTGTGCCAAAGGTCTTGTGTCTCGTATTCCTTGCCAACTGATCAACTGGCGAAGGCAACATTGTATCAGTAATCAACACGGTGTCAATATCCTCATTCGCAGTCACAGGGAGGTCCATGTATCTCGGAGCGCGATAGATATTAAGTTATGTGCCATTTAGAGTCCACTCTGACCGAAACCACCTCCACCAGCTTATCCTCATAATACCGCGAGACGTCGCCACAAGTACCATATGATACCAAATCCCACCCCACCCTCTGGGAGGATCAATTGGTGCAATTCCGAGCCTGAGAAGAAGACTCAAGTCGTTTCTATCAGTATATATAACGATGCACATGAAACTGGTGAAGGTACCCACACCTTCGCACATCTCCCAACTGTAAGCCATTTTCACCATGGCTTCAAGAGGCATCCCGTTGGATGCTGGTGCGTTAATGTCAACAGTGCTAGAAGGCATTTTATACGGTGAGTATTGCAATGTGTTTGTCTCTCCCATGCCCACCAAGCGAGGGTCACCTCTCCAGGCTTTTCACTCCTCATGTTTATTGGTACCATCTGGGCTCTGACTTACAAACGTCGCATACGGGACGTCAATCGCCCAATCGCTGTGGTGGCCATCCTGCTGTTAATACTGAGTACCGCGGTTAGCTTTTCGCTTCTTACATCTGGCATCATCTACTGATATCCCCCAAGCACATGGTCGTGAATACTATTCGTACCGAAGATGGACTGGTGAAATATCGCGACACCTTCCAAGGCGGGCCAATGGCGTTCTTCGGAGACCTTACCCAACAAACGTTTGTGATCAAGCATGCGTTATATCTCTTGCAAACGCTTCTTGCTGATGGGGTAGTGGTGGGTTTACACATTTATCTACTAGCCGACAACCCTCTGTGCTTATTACAGCTATCTGCTAAAAGATCTACCGCTGTTATGTTGTTTGGAGATCCCTTTGGATGATCATCCTACCAAGCATAATGTGGTGCACCGTCGCAGGTTAGGGTCGTAATCATGCTCAGGAAGTTCTGCTCTCTGATCAAGTTGCCCCGAAGTGACTGGTGTTTTTGCAACCTACAATGTCTCACAGGACAGAAGTAACTCCGGAAACATCTTCGCCAAAGTGCTTGCACAGTGGATCACGGCATTCTTTGCCTCGACTATCGCAACCAATCTGTTGAGTTCAGGTAATCGCGTTCCCGTGAGCATGTTGTCGAGGCCCTGAATGTGTACAGGATTACTGGCATATCGTGTCTGGATGATCGAACGCAATGTCTCTACAATTCGCACTACGAAGGGCACAATGATGCCAATGGTGCGCGTGCTTGTGGATTCCGCTGGTTTATATTCTGTGGTGCTCTCCATCATACTAATATGTTTCGTCTGCTCGAACAACGGAGAGTCTGTTGTTGTGGACATGGTGATTCCGCCCTAAACACCCGTTATCGAAAACTGAGCTTTTGATCAACCAGGCCATGCCGATCATGTCAATCGCCTTCTACATGGTGCTTATTCGCCTCGCAATCAACAGAAACACTCGCAGTTACCACTCGACTTCCCCTAGAGCCACAACCGATGCCATGGAACAGGAACGCAGGCGACAGATTTGTATGGCGCCCTTGCAGGTCCACATATCCCAATGTACGCAGGATGATAGTACGTTGGCGTACAAAGTGGGGAATGAAGACCAACAACCATCGATATACAAGACAGAGTCTGTGTAAAGGGCGCCTACATGTAGTCAACTTGAATGCCATATATCTGTTTCCTAGAGATTGTGTTTACCCTTCTTCCAACTTACATAACCGCACACTTGCACTTATTTCTCGTTGTACCATCTTACCGCTTTCGCTTTCACTGTAGTTCTATTCCCCTGTAGCCACGAACTGACTGAAGTCTCTGAACATTTCGTTATCACAATTCCTCGTAGATACCGGACTGGTAGGTTATCGCCTGAAGTGATTATCGACGTCCGTAATACATGCAAATATGTTTATACAATCAAGTATCAGGATTTTCAATCATCAAAACAAAGCCCTCCTCTACGAGTCGGGGCTAGTTATTACATTAATTACGGAGACGCCCATATGTCCCCAAATTCACCCCAACTCACATCCCCAAAGTGGGCCTCCGAAACTCATATGTCAATTCACCCCAACTCACGCCGGTGAAAATATCCACAGTTATAAATTCACACCCTGACTTTCTCCGTACACTACCGAGGACTCATGGATCCACTGATGCCATTCCCGCTGCTTTTTCTCAAACTCTTCCTGAAGTTCGCCCCTCATCTCCTCGTCTTTGGCACGCATAGCGGCTTCCCTCGCAGGTTATGGATATCCTCTTTGTGGCGATCCGCTTGTTCGTCGAGAGCGCGCCTCAGCTCAGAGCGTGCAGCAGTCTTCTCGATGGGCTTGTGCTCGTTGACGATTTCCTGCTGAATGCGGAGCGTAATGACGGTGCCTCAGCGTATGGAATCAGAAATGAAGCTAGAAGACCGGTCATCAAGATTGGAGGCGGAGCCTGGAGAGGGTTCCTTGTAATGTGTAACCAAACTGAATGAGGCCCAAACACCAATTATTCTGCGCTTCCCCCAAGGACCTGTTTGTGCTTCTAATTCAACATGTATTCATGCTTGTGCACAGTTCTCACTGTCCTATCTTGCCGTTTCATTGTAGTTCTAGTCATATCCTGTCGCTGCAAAGTGACTTCGGGAGTGGGAAATGGTGAAAATATAGAGTTGCTGTGCCGTTATTAATGCTAATGGTGAGAGATGAAAGAACCATATTCTTATCTGATGCAAAGCTGGCAGATTGGAGGGTCACGGTGTTGTTGAATGTTGTTCAAGTTGTGCAAAGGTTTTAAACATGATGACATAAGATCTCCCACGATCGCTCACAGTCTACTATCCCGTACTAAAAACTCTCACTTCTTTTAGCAACCTTTGTTGTCGGCGCTTCCGTTAATTTCCATCATCTTGCAATACAGCTGTTCCCCGTACGCAACAGTGGTCTATGTATCACCATGTTTGAATGTTGACGTGAACACCCATACATCCTAGTCATGTTACCGTGACACTCAGCACCCAAGGCTCAAGCAGTCCTCGCAGCCGGGCTGTCCCTCCCTGTGTTATCTATCTTTCATACATACATCCCCACCATAGACACCTTCATCACTCACCCTCCCGGCCTCAACATCGTGAATACTACCCCTCTGGTCCCTTCAACATCACTGTGAACATGCAGCAGAGCACGGTCGAATCAGTACCTGGGTGAGGTTGTACGCCCACATATCTTTCGGCACCTTTCAAAGTCTCTCTGCGTTCATGTTCTCATTTACCCAGTACGTTCAATCAAATGGACATGCCAGAAATGGAGTGACGGGGCATTCTTTTGTGAGTCCAGCCCGAACGAACGTGGACGTCAGTAATTTACTGTGCGCTGGAAAACTTGATGCAGGACGGGGAACAGCCGTTTCCCCCCGGAAGCTTCAATCCAGATGATTTGTGTGAGCGATTTTTAGGTCTCGGGAATGACTTCCGTAAATGTTAGAGCATAATGACTACGAAAGTCGTTTGAGAAGACGCCTGCAGAAGAAACGCATTGACAGAATCCGATCCAGAACGGAAGGTACGTATTCATCATGTGTGCACGCTATATATTTTCATTGTGTCCACCATAGCTGCCCCCCATTGTCGAGCTCGTTTCTGGCAATGTCACTACGATGCGTGAGCGTATAATTACTATGTATCGGCAGCACTCGGTCGTCGTGGGCTTTGGGGCCAGCGCGTCAGGGTATTTTTATTTCCCTGTGCAATCATTGTTCGCCCTGGGAGAAAGTACTTCCCAAGAGATGAGCGCTGATCTGAAGAGAAGCTCTCATTTTGACCAGTAAGTAGACATTTATACGCCACGATATATTCGTTCATACGACTCCTTAGTTCCGCAGACTTATGAAGGCCAGGACGCGGAATGTAACAGGAGAAGACTACTCATTCAGTGAGGAGGGCTCGAAGGCCTAGTATGTACGTAATCTTTTCCTCCATTCTCGTCACATTATTCATCATTATATCAAGCGCAGTCAACCCACATAATGGCGGAACAATGAAGACTGTGACACCCTGTGCATCATGCCGTATCATTGGGGGCGAAAATTTGCCGTGTGTGCATGAGGTCGATAAGGTGATCTTCAGTTAGATCCTGCGTTAACGAGATGCGCGAACCGTTGACACTAAATACTAAATCAGGAGTATGCACAAGGAGTGCCGTACGTATGTGTTTACTTAAAATTAGCCTGGGTTTTGGAGCTCACTCTGCATCTCTCTTGTTCCACTTAGGTTGCAGTCAGAAAGAAGGACTGATACATTTGCATCTGACTTATGAAGCAAGTCAACGAGTACCGGAGTATCAAATGGCTTACAGTCTTCCAGAAATATATATTGAGGCTGTGAAGATTGCGCCGAACTTGTGAGATTACGAGACAAGAGACTAGCCCAAGTACGGGTCTGCCAGATCAAATATGTAGAAGAAGTCAATCGTTCGTTACCTTCATCAGCCTATCCGGGATGCGCTGCATGATACACTGGTATGTTGGACCGCCCAAGTATTTTGTATATAATGATATACACGAAGCTGCCAGACGAAGATGCCCACACCTTCGCACACCTGCCAGGCTGTACACAGCTCTAGCATAATATTACTTTTGCCATGGCTTCAACAGGAATCCCGTTGGATGCCGGTTCTATACTGGCAGTGGCGCTGGAAGGCGTTGCATACGGTGAGCATCGCAACGTGTTTGTTCGTCCTATGCCCACTAAGCTAGGGTCACCTCTCCAGGCTTTTCGGTCCTCATGTTTATAGGTACTATCTGGTCTTTGACCTTCAAACAGCGCATGCAGGACGTCAGTCGCCCAATCTCCGTGGTGGCCATCCTGCTGTTCATATTGAGTACCGCGGTTAGCTCTTTTCGCTTCTTGCTTTTTATATCTGACATGGTTATCATATGCTGACATTCCACAAGCACATGGTCGTGACCATCATTCGCGTCGAAGATGGATTGGTGAAATATCGTGACACGTACCCAGGCGGGCCAGTGGCGTTCTTCGCCGATCTCACCCAGCCAACGATGGCGATCCAGCATTCATTATACCTCTTGCAGACTCTACTGGCTGATGGGGTAGTGGTGGGTTCATATTTTACATTCCAGCTTATTCTCTGTGCTTATAACAATTGTCTGGTACAAGATCTATCGCTGTTACGTTGTTTGGCAATCAGTCTTGATCATTGTCCTACCAAGTATGCTGTGGTGCAGCGTAGCAGGTTAGTTCGCAATCATGCTCACGAAGTCGTGTTTTCTGACATTGCATCGAAGTGACTGGTGTTTTTGTAATTTACACCTTTCTCCAAGTCACAAATAACTCCACAGACCTCTTCGCCAACGAGCTTGGACAGCCTGGACAGTGGGTGGCCGCATTCTTTGCCTCGACTATTGCAACAAATTTATTGAGTTCAGGTGAGCACGTTTCCGTGAATGCGGTCTCGAGGCTCTGAACATGTACAGGATTACTAGCATATCGCATCTGGATGATTGAGCGCGATATCTCTACTGTTCGCGCCACGAAGGACACTATGATGCCAATAGTCCGCGTGCTTGTGGATGCTGCTGTTTTGTACTCTGTGGTACTCTTCACGACACTAATCTGTTTCATCTGCTCGAACAATGGGGAGGTTGTCATATTGGATATGGTAATTCCGCCCTAAACATTTATTATCCGAATAGAAAACTGAGCTTCGAATAACTAGATCATGCCGATTATCTCGATTACTTTCTACATGGTCCTTATTCGCATCGCAATCAATAGAAAGAATCGCGATCCCTCGACTATAGGTCCTCTGCAGTCCTTGCAGATCCATATATCACAAATCACGCGCAATGACAGTGCCTCAGTGTACGGAACCAGGAATGAAGACCAGTCATCAATATTAGCTCCGGATGAGTCTGGAAAGGCCTCCGGATCCTTGTGATGTGTAATCATCTGAATGACATCAATGTGGCCTGGACGTCATTTATTTCGCGATTTCCTCTAGAGATCTGTCTGTACTTCTAATTTAACATGTCTTCACGCTTCCACGGTTTTCGTTGTCCTATTTTACCCGTCTCATTGTAGTTATACTCTCCTGTGGCTTCAAAGTGACCGAAGTCTCTTTGAAGATCTGGTCATCACGGTCTCGTATCGCATTATTAGCCTAATACATCTGGGCAAAAAAATTTAATGCAGTATACAACACCCGGATCTTCTCCCTGATCGAGCGACGACTGTCCAGGCAGACATACCTGCCATATATGCGGCGCATGAAAACTCGTGACATCGATTTCGCGGACGACGTGCCCGACGATTTACATCTTTGCTTCCTGACACTGAGGAGAGGGTCGGGACTCGGGATCCAACTTGAAACCCGCCGAACTCGTTTTGTACCTGATCACATAAGACCCTGCCACCTAAAGGCGCACCAGTAAAACTTCAACTTGTACAGCTCAGCACTGTGCACCTTCCAGCAAACACCCATATGTGTCCACCCATAATTCCAACACTTTCTTTCGATGCAGCCGTACCTAGCTGTACCTGTGCCCCGAATGCATCTGTATTTATCACTCTTGACGATTGTCTCTTGATCCACTTGCAGATAAACGTCAATTGCTTCGGTGTTCCCCATATATATCTGGCATCAATAAAGGCTCGTTATTATTGATATTTCTGTATCACACACCATCTCTCCTTCCCTTCTCCTCCAGCATTAATTTCTTCCTCGTTCGTCACTCACCCTTCTCATTCTTGGCATCGTGACTACCGCCCCTCGTCCTTTTCAACATCGCCCTCGCGGTCCCAGTCACTCCAGAGTACAGTCTCATCTCTACCTGATTCAGGAGAACTATAAGTACGATCCACAACGAAAGATACGCAGTAGTTACGGTGTAACATTTCATCGCGTGCATCAGAGTCGTAGCTATCCGTCATTTTTGTGCTCGTTGCTGGTAAGGTCACGACGACTCTTCAGCGTTTAGATGCTCTGTACCGGCGAGACTCGGTCGTCGTGGGATTGAAGGGCCAGCGCAGCGTGATGTAAGCTTGGGACGCGCTAAGGTGAACAACATGTCAAAGTATCTATCTCAAATCCCCCCGCGCCCATTGTCGTCGGTCGCTTGGAGGCCTAGTATATGCGTGGCATTATTATCACAGTCGCGCACATACAAATTGGAATCCATGATGATGCAGACTGTCGATTCTGCTGTATGATTGCAGGCGAAAACTCGCCGCGTGTATACAAGTTGCGATATTCTGTGGGATGCGTAAAATGCTGGGTAACAGTACGCTGGGTATGCGATCGGGAGTGTGCACAAGTAATGGCACTCTGATTGGCCCGCGGATCTGTAGGCTATACCAGTGTCACAATTCAGACATGATGGCATGATCTTATCATGTCATTTGGCTCTTGTTCTCCTATTGACAAGGCCCTAGGCCCTAGGTGTCACATTATATACTACCATTTTCTACCATGTCGGTTTGCATTCAAAGAGTCGGCACGGATACAGTTACGGCGTCACTGAATGCGGTCAGGCGCTGTTAGCATCGCCTGACCCGAACTTGTACAGAAAGAGACTACTAGTAGGTGCCGGTGAGGTCCACCCTGGGGCTGCAACCGAAAAAAAAACTTGGTCTCTGGGCCATGTCCAGACCAAAAAATATTTAACAACTGAAACTAAGTGATATAGAATTGGAAGTCAAGTCTTTCGTTAATTAACAAGTGTCGGATGATCGACCTATCGGTGATGCCATCATGAAACACTGATTTGAACGCCCAAGTCTTTCCACTTAACGATAAATAAATACATGAAGATGCCCACAATCGTAAATCGATGTGCCATCTGGGCTACTATTAGGAAGTTGTAGACATTATTTGCACCATGGCTGCAAAAGGCCTCCCGTTGGATGGCGCTTCTTTACTATCCGTGACTTTGGAGGGCATTGTATACGGTGAGCATCGCAATTAGTTTATTCAACTTACGCCCAAGTCAAGGTCATCTCTTCAGGCTTTTCACTCCTCATGTTTATTGGAACTATCTGGGCTTTGACCTACAGGCAGCGCATACAGGACGTCAGTCGCCCGATTGCCGTAGTGGCCATCCTGCTGCTGATACTGAGTACCGCGGTTAGCATTTCTTGGCTAGTTACATTTCTTGTCATCTGCTGACTTTCTCTAAGCACATAATCGTGAACGCCATCCGTGTTCAATATGGACTAGTGAAGGATCGCGACACGTTCCCGGGCGGGCCACTGGCATTCTTCGGAGACCTCACCCAACCCACGATGACGATAAAGAATGCATTATACGTCTTGCAAACTCTATTGGCTGATGGAGTAGTGGTGGGTCCATATTATATACGCCAGGTTAAACCCTCTGTGCTCATAGAATTGCCTTGTCTATCAAAAGATCTATCGCTGTTTAGTTGTTTGGCGATCCGTCGCGATTATCATCCTACCAAGCATGCTGTGGTGTAGTGTCGCAGGTCAGGATGCAATATTACATATGAAGTCGCATGATCTGATTGTTTCCCTGCAGTGACTGGCACTCTTTCGGTCTACAGTGTTTCGCAAGCCAGCAATAACCCCGGAGATGTCTTCGCCTCGCACCTTTCGAAGTGGATCACGGCATTTATGGCCTCGACTATTGCGACTAACTTGCTAAGTTCAGGTAAGCACATCTCCGTGAGCGCGATGCCGAGGCCCTGAATATGTGCAGGATTACTGGCATACCGCATCTGGACGATTGAACGTGAAACTTCTACAGCTCGCCCCGCGAAGGACACTATGATGCCCGTCGTGCGCGTACTCGTGGACACCGCTGTTCTGTACTCTGTGGTGCTCTTCACGGCGTTAATATGTTTCGCTTGCTCGAACAATGGCGAGGTTGTCATGCTGGACATTGTGATTCCACCTTAAGCATCCTTCATCGAAATAAAACTGACCCTCGAACAAATAGAACATGCCGATCATAGCGATTGCCTTCTACATGGTCCTTATTCGCCTCGCAATCAACAGAAAAATTCGCAGTCAGCTCTCTACTGTGGGGGTGACCAACGAGATGGAACAAGGCAATGTGCGGCAGTATCCCATGCAATCCTTGCAGGTCCATATATCCCAATTCACGCGCAATGAGGATACATCAGTGTTCGGAATAGGGACTCAAGACCAGCCATCGACATTCAAGGAGGAGTCCGGAAAGGGCTAGGACCTTGCCAGCATTACCAAACCGAATTTCGCTTGGGCGCCGTGGATTTCGTGATTTCCCCTAGAGACCTATCTGTATTTGTAATTTAACATACCTTCACGGTTGGACAGTTCCTGTTTTCCCATCTTACCGTTTCCTTGTAGTTATATTCCCCTGTCGCTGCGAAGTGACCGAGGTCTCCGAAAATCTTGTCGCCAATCCCGTAGATATCCCATTAGCGGTATTGAGTACGATAGGTATTATCGACTCCGTCATTTAACTGTAGTAATACAAACACCTGACTGAAAACAAATTGAATAACATGATGTTAAAGAATGGGACGAACTAAAACGGACTACAGACCACAAATAAATGTCCAGGCCAAGGCACCTAAGCAGAGTGATAGCAGCATGCACATGACTCGTGTCAAAAGGTTGGTCTTAAGTAAGATTCCACTATACAGTGGAGAAACCGGGAACGCAAGAGTAGATGTGTTGGAGGCGGCGAAATACCTTTAAGCCGGCGGGAGATGCATCAGGGGGTATTTGAGCCGAGGAGCTCGATGAGGCTCTGAGGATGAAGGGAAGGGCTTGCATGTGTGAGCCGGTATGAGTATGCGCTTAACTAAGTGTAGCTTGCTTACTCGGTAGTAGGGAGGTCGGTCTCAACAGTGGGAGACTGGATCGCAGTGACGCGCTTTGCATATTTGAGGCTGGGGTGGACATAGAGAACTAGGGAGGGAGAAATACTAGTGGAAGTATATATTTAGTTGCTGCGCTATTGTCATTAATGTCGACAGATGAAAGAAGCGTGTTTTTATTTGACGGCAAAGCCTTCTAGCTGATGGTCCCGGGACACGAGGTGATGCAGAATCATAAATGTCAGGACAAATCCTCGAGACAGGCGTTTTCTAAGTTACCGAGAGACTCGTATCGAGGGATTAATTTACCACGATATCTTGCAAAGCAGTCTCGGCTTCCTCGTGGTTGAGAATCAGTGGCAAGCACTTCTACAAGGGGGCTGATTGGCAGTGATGTTCCACCCAGGAGCAAGCCCACTCGGCCAATTTTGTTCGACAATCCTTGTGATACGCTACTTGCAACGATTCAGCGGATGAGACCACGGTGAATTGCACGCGAACCGGCGCTGAAGTGTCTTCATCTACAAGGTTGACAAGCGGTCCAAGAGTGATATCCTTCGAGGCTACGAGTCGGATACCTAGAACGGAGACTATAGTCTCCTCGTGACACAATAGGTGAGAGCAAAGGCACAGTCGAGCGTGCACCAGCTATTAAGTCATATGGCTAAGCCTTGCAGTGTGCACGAGCAGCACAACCAACTTGGGCTAAGACGCAAATTTTGAAGCTGAGACCTCGGACATCCTTCAAGTTGGACTCGTGAGTTGTTGTCTATTGTTGTGCAAAGGCTTTGTACCTGACGAGTCTCTTTCAAATTCAAACTCCGTGCTCTTTCTGCCGGATCCTCCTGAACTAGCACTTACATGTCGACATCTTCTCCATATGTTCTCACATCTGTCTTCGAATTCTGTTCTTCGTGTAATATCAACATTTCCTTCCCCAAATGACACGCCAGTACTTTTTTATCCTCCCATATCCCAAATATGTTTCGTCCTGTTCGACATCGTTCTCGCGTTCCCATCAGCAATCATACGTCTGCATCTGTAACAGCGGCTTGATCCAGTTACCATTACTACTCACGCCTTCTAGACATGAAAGAAGCTTGTTCTTATACGTCGTTAAAGCACCGAGGCCGCCGGGCCACGGGACACGACATCCACAGAATAGAGCACGTCCTCGGGCAGGAGTCCGAAATTCTCCAAGGAGCTCATTTTCGTATGTGAACATACCGACCGCAATTCTCACAGAACGGCAGGACGAGGCGGACTGATTGTCTATTCTGCCGCAATACCCTCGACGCGTGTAATTGAGGATGATGAGGCTATAATCAATATGTGTCGCTAGCGGCTGAAAAGCAGGCGATACCCTACTGATATTCAGCACAGATATCTTGTCTTTGAGACGAGGCCGTGCCCTTGTTGTAACGAAAGCCCGGCGCTATTCCCATGTCCGAATCATTCCCAGAATATGCCAGTATGTCAGTTCAGTGGGACACTGACCGTTACTAAACCAACAAAATGTGAGGATGGTGTTCTATGATCTTCAATGGGAGATGCGCGAAGCATTGAGTAACACTACGCTAAATATGGTGTCCAATCATAAAACCTCAAATAGTGCTGCACGTATGAGTTCGCTTGAGAATCTTCAGAACTATGAAGTTTTCACTCCGTGATGCGGGCTGCCTAGTAGGTTCACTGCCATATCGTTCATGCTCTGTCATTTGATTTGTATCTAGTACTGTAGACTTAGCTGTGCGGGTAGATCAGCAATTGTTATAGATTACAGAAACATAGACCGCCGGGGCTCACGGGTTGCATACGGCATGGTGGACCCTGGCGCGGCCTAGGCATCGAGCCCATTGATCACCGTTGTGATGTAACAGTCGTTGATCATCCACCTGGGCTTCCCATTAAGTAAGCCTTACTATAGTGGTTT